AAATGTTTTCAACACAAAGTTAGTGGAGAAAGGGCAAGAGGTGTTGGTTGTTAAATTTCCTTTGGTGTTGATCATATTTGAAAAGAATATAGGATTTGGTTTTAATGGAAGAATGTGCAAGGAAGAATTAGGGTATGAGTATGAATAAGGTGTAGAGATGGAGGATTATTTGTCTTTCCATAAGTGTTGGTATGATTCATTTGTTCCCTTTAGCCTAATATTTCTAACTTTTAGAAAAGGAAACTGAATATCAATCCCAAAACAAAGGCAAGAGTAAGCTTGGAGAGTAAAGAAAAATGGGAGTTTTCATCATCATCTTTTTGTAAGGTAATGTACCATTGTTCTTTATGTTCCATAGGATATAAATGATTTATGAGATGGGTGTAACATCTCTACCCCGTATACGTTCCTGTATACAAGCTAGAGATATCACATCAATCATATAAAATGTATAATGTTCAAAATCGGTAATAATTTTTTTAATACTATTTATCATATTTAATATCACTATATTAAATAAGTATCAACTTTTGTATTACAAAACCCTATTTAAAACATAAATTAAAGCAGTTAAAATATTTATATTATACATGCCACTACATATACAAAATATTATAATAGATGCCCTTACTAATTTAGATGGTAGCTTGATTTTTCTAGGTAATGCCGAAGTACCCCCTATTCCGTAATCTTTTCCTTTCCTTTCCCTACGTGTGAACCAATCACACTCTAAGTATTTACTTAGTGAGGCGTAAAAGATATTATATAAAACTAAACCATACTCAAATTATTGTATACAATCAACTATAAAGAATAAATAAAATAAGTATTTAAACACATAGTATAACTATTCAAGAATAATTTGCATGTAAACATATAAAAGCAAATTAAGTAGTTGATTCATATATCTTGTACTTTCTATATTTAAATCATTATGACTTGTATTAGCTTATATTTATTTTTATTATATATATATATATATATATATATATTTTAAATATAGTCAAATGCATTTTAATCGAGAATATAAGGTACGTGAGTATCGTCGCGTGTGCGAGCTATATGCACTTAAAAGTGTCTCGTAGATATATTTGCACTCGAAAGTGCCTCGTAGAATTGCACTCGAAAGTGCCTCGTAGGGTTGCCATGGGTGCCATATAAACTTGTATATCATATAGTCACTCCACTTCATGGCATTCCATTTGTACCTCACACTCTCGAATATACACATTAGGCTTTATTAAAATTATAACATTCACATGTAAATTCATTTGAACATATAGCTAAAATAAAATATTAGAAGAACATGTCTCATGAAATTCATATTTAAAAGCATCTAAACTCGGTATAATGAAATTATAAAAATATAATTTCTAAGTACGTTTAAAAAAAATGTTTCTTTTAAATAATTGAGGTCGACTCATCGTAAGTCTTCCTCATCGTATAAATATATAAAATAAGTTAGACACACTCAACTTATACCTCACTAGTAAACCTTAGCGTCGATATTGCTTTCACTATGATCCTTTGCTTTCTCTCTTTGCCCGGTTTGATTTTGATTACGATCACAATCTATCCGAAAATAATTTATCCGGCGATAAATTTTCAAAGCATAAGTTAGTATTTAACTAATATATTAAATACATATTCGCATAAATTCCGAAACAAAACTAATACATGTTCGATAATAATTCCTTTAACCTTAGATTGGTAAACTTTTCACAGCTTAATGCATAGATCTCACAAGTCACAACTAGCCATCTCGTTGTTTTCAGGTCACTATTACACCATCGAAGTCACCGAAAATGCTTTGCAAGTCAAACCTAGAACATTGTTAGTCTGCACATACTTTCCCTAATGCAACCTTGAATATTTTGAACAATTAAAGCAATTCAACAACATCTGTGGACAAGTTTAAAACATAAAAAAAAATGCATCTAGGTTCCTAGCGTTGAATATGCTCAGTTTCACAATTCATGAGCTAAAGTTTGTGTCAAGCAGCTGGTCCATGAGCTGCCACACACTGAGATGCATCTTAGCCTTTTCCTTGTTCATAAATACACATCACAAATAACGTTTCCTAAAGGCTCATGAATGGAAAATAACCCTTATTTTCCGAAACTTCCAAATTAATCCCCTAATTGCCTCCAATTTGATTTCAAGCTTAAATCATCATCCATTCTAAATCAATCAAATATCAAGATAAACCAAATTCAACATTTCTCCCCAACTCCCCGTAATAGCCGAAAATTTCAACTACAACCCCATGATAATTTCCAATCAATTTCCATGTTTGTTTACACTTCCATAATACTTATAGGATCAAAATTCAAGCTTATTTCAACCAAATATAACTTCCCCTTCATCCACCATAAATACCCACTTCACCATTTAAGCATGAAACAATGAAATACCTATACCAATTTGTAGAGAATTAAGTGAACATTTTCTTATTTCATACTTTAGTCTAAATTCTCACTAAAATGGACCAAAAAATGAAAAACAAAAGCTTGCTTACCTTGGCTATGGAGTTTCATCCAGTTGCTGGAGAAGAGAAGAGATTCTTGAGTTTTCTTCTAAAATATCTCATAATTTGTCTTAAAACAAATTTAAAAATGAATTAAAAATTCATTTTAGCCAAAAGAAAAAGTCAAATTTACCCTTAATGAATCTTAATTTTTTTACCACTATGCCACCCTTTTATCTCCATTTTAATAACCTTAAATAAATATAAAAATCTCATTTATTAATTTCCACCTTTACCCTTCTAATTTCCCATAAATTCAATTTAGTCACTAAATTTTACTATTCCACTTTAACATGAAAATTCCTCCAAATTCCACTAATTCACATCAAATTATACTAATTAAAAATATAAATATAATTTTTCTAACCTCAAACTTCCTTCCTTCAATTTTTGTATTCGATCCGATTATTCGAATATTTTATCGATCTTTATCGCTTAATAAACTTTTATACCAACTTCAAATCAAAATTCTGAAACCCACTAAAATTTTATTCTTAGGCCGAACTACTAATTTACAATCCAAATATTTAACCTTCAAAAATTACATTTTTACTCCCTGAACTTTTATAAATCACATTCTAGTCACTAGTCCAAAATTTGCGATATTACAATGGGTGTAATTGGTAGTTAACGTAGAAATCTGGTTTTAGGTTGGAAACCTTATTTATGTTTGGAAAATAGGTTTTAGGTTGAAAATCTAATTTATGTTTGGAAAACAGGTTTTAGGTTGAAAATCTGATTTTAGGTTGATAACCTGATTTTGATTTTAAAAAAACACTAATTATTGAGATTAGAAACTAGATTCTAGAAAGGATTAGAGTGACTTGTACAAGAGCCCTTAAGGATTAGAGTGACTCGTACGGGAGCACCTAATCATATGAACTTTGATGAGAATGACAACAAAATTACGAGAAATGTTTTATTTGATATTGATTGGTTATTTCATTACTTTCTAAATTTATATTTCAGATGATCGAAATGAATAATTATACATTACTGGGCATTAGTAGCTCATTCTTTGGTTATTCTCAGCTCAGGTGACTAGGTGCAGACTTTAACTTGGAGCGCCATCATCGGAGAATCCCAGCCTTGCTGCTCAGAGTATAGTTCTAGATTCTTTTGTTGGGGTATGAATCCATGTACATTTGGTTGCTCCATGTTTGTTTAAAAATTTTAGTGTTATTTATTACTCTTGAAGTCTATTCCCTATTCAATAAATCATGAATAGAGTCCGTTGAGGTATTGTTATCATGACATCTCAATCCCGGACGGATTGAGTGTTACATCCCATTTTGAAGGAAGAGACAGACCCAACACAAATAGAACACTAAAATTTTATTTTAGAAAAGAATGACCACAATAATTTAAAATTATTTATGAGTCATTTTGATTTAGTTAAAAATATATATATTCATATTTAATTTAAATATGTTTTAGATTAAATCTGAATTTCCATTTTATTATTTAAATAACTAATAATAAAGTACTAGAAGACACTTTTTTATTAATGTTATTATATTTAAATTTTAAAATAAAATTTTCATAATTAAATTTATATAAAGATACATTTTGTTATTTACTTTGAATTAGAAACGATCGTTTTCGAATCTAATTCAGATACCCTATTCAGAGATTGAGCTTGTTAGGTTCAACAGGTAATCTTACCTTTTAATAAGGTCTACTGTTAGAGATGAATAGAGGAATATTAGAGGTTTAACTGTATTCTCTAAAAAATTTAAATTTTAAATTCTTACATAATTTTAAGGTTTTTTTTTTGTATTTTTTATCGATGATCTAATTTCATATTCTCTACATTCTTAATATATTTTCTTAAATTTATATCATTTAACATAAAAATATCTATCTATCTTTATCTACAACAATCTCTTTTGTTTATATTAATTTTATTTGACACATTCATTTAATGTGCATATGCAAGTTTATCATTTTAATAAATAATAAAATAATTTTATTTTTAACACATGCTAAAACAATCCAGCCGAGCACCTATTAATTTATCATGGTGTACTTGCCATATTTTTAGATCATTAAATTTACAAAATTTCCAATCCAATCCAATCCTCTAAAAGTAGGTTGAATAGGCAATACATCCTATTATATTTACATACCAAAATAGAGAGTAGACGCAACACAAAACTGGACATGCATGCCATAATTGGACACTACACATTCAAGCATCATTGAATCTTTATATCTGGAACAAATTAAATAGAGTTTATGCGTCCATAGAAATGGTAAGAGATGTCAACTGTTGGTTAACTATGGTAGAGTTCTTCACATATTTAAACATTTCATTGTTATTTCGAAATTGATATTTAAAAATCGTATCGGTTCTATATTTTTATCACGTCGATAGAAGAATATTTAAATTGAATTACTCTTACGATCCTTGCTTGTCTATATATATAGACACACAGGTGTGCAGGTATAAAAAGAGTCTTAGCTGTGATTGGAGAATCTGATATGTGAGTGGTGGAAACAGAAGGAAGTTAGTTGTTATGGGGAAAGGAAGAGCTCCTTGTTGTGATAAGGACAAAGTGAAGAGAGGTCCATGGAGTCCCCAAGAGGACTTGAAGCTTATCACTTTCATTCAGAAATATGGCCATGAAAACTGGAGAGCTCTCCCTAAGCATGCTGGTCAGTCTCCTTCTTCTTTTCTCTCTAATGGCTTCATGCATGGAATCAAACAACATTTCTTCTGCTCACTTCTTTTGGTAACCAAGTTTATAAACGACCATTTTGTTCAATTCTCTCAATTTGCGGACTAATCTGCAAATATTTTGCTGTTTGTCTGCAAATCTGAAACGTTTTCTGCAATGAAGTAATCATTCAAATCTGCCATGAATTACTTTATTGAATCCATCAATGTTAGTTGAATGAAATGTTTGAACTCTTTCTCCTTGTTTGTGTTTGGTAAGAAACTATGAAATTTCCTTGTTTTGCAATGCTTCTACCTAAAATGTTGTGGCAGCTTAACAATTGTGGGTCAACATCAGATTGTCACAAGGCCACTTGTGGCTATTCTTTTTTTTCTTTTCATTTTCATTAAACATTCAAGAATTATTGAATCCAGAGATGAGCCAAATAGGGATGGATCGAGGGATGTTGGGGTGTGATCGTACCTTCTAGAAATTTCAAATCACTGTATAGTTTAAATATTGATGATCTAATTTAGCTTACCTTAAAATTTTGTAATTTTACACTTTTTTTTTCAATTATCATTTTCTACATTCGTACCCCTGACATAAAATTATGTATTTGTAGTTAGGTAGTTCATGAAATCACCCTTAGTAGGTGAAAATTTGTGACATCTTAACACAATGATGCTGCTGTTTTGATTTCACTTTCTGATATAAGCATCCCGACGCGCCAAAACTGTCTTATTTTTTATCCATCATTAGTTGAAATCTGAAGGCAAAAACATTGAATTGTCATATTTGTTTCCGTCACTCTCTCGACAGATGAACAAGACAGCTTTAGATAGTTTGACATTTTTGTTTTGGACTATGTTGTAGGGCTACTGAGGTGTGGAAAGAGCTGCCGTTTAAGATGGATTAATTACCTGAGACCCAATGTCAAAAGAGGGAACTTCAGCAAAGAGGAAGAAGAAACTATAATAAGGTTACATGAGACTTTCGGAAATAAGTGAGTTTCAAACTAGAAACAGGCTTTAATCTTGGTTGGTTGTTGGCGTATTGATATCATATGTTACGATTATATTAATTTCACAGGTGGTCCAAAATCGCTTCACATTTACCAGGAAGAACAGACAATGAGATAAAGAATGTCTGGAACACTCATTTGAAAAAGAGATTGGCTTCAAAGGCCTCCTCGTCATGCTCTTCTGTTACATTTGTGTCGTCGTCGTGTGGTGAAATAAGCATCGAGGCATTCGAGGAGCTAAAAGCTTTGTCAAGTTCTTCAATCTCTTCCAGTAACTCCAACGTCACCGATACCAGTCGAGTCGATGCTTTAAATCCAGAAAATCACGGTCGTTCACCGTTCGATGTCATAGGAGTTTATGGTGCAAACAACGCATCAGAGGAGGTGAACAAGCCGGATATCTATGATACCGCCGTCGATATCCCGTTGGAGTTGGATTTGGACTTTTGGAACAAGTTGGATAGCTTAGGATCATTCCAGCCCGATGAGATTCAATCAAATCAAGCTGAAAACAACAAGTGGTTGCAGTACTTGGGAATCGAACTTGGCCTGGAAGTAACCAGGGATGAAAACCAGAACAATTTGTCAAACAATGCAGCTGAGCCACTAGTTCCTGAGATGTATGACATGCTGTTAGAGTATGCCCATTGACACATTTTATTTATCGTATTTATCAAATAATATATTACTATTATTTTCTTTTATTGTATTTCTATGCATTAAATAAGCTAAAAGATAATAATGTCCTTATAATAGTATGATTATTATTAAAAGATCCTTAGTCATGTATTATTATGGGCATGAACAATAATAATATGCTTAAGATTAACATGTTATTGATTGATGACAAAGAATTGTCATTGACACAAAGATATTACAATTAATACATGAATATATTGTCAAAGAATAGTATATTGGATTGACCCGCTATAAGCATATGTCTTGGATTATGTGATGGTCACGATATTGCTTATAGTGACAACTATATGTATAATCCTTAGACTTGAGATCATTACAATCTCAACATACATTGTTGTATGTTTTGATATAGTTAAACATGTTCCATAATTGGTTGCACTATAAAGACTGACATTGAATATATCACGATATATGTAGCGAGGTGTGAATGATAGAGATAGGATTTGTCATTCCTACATAATAGGAAACATATCACAAACCACTTGATTGAGTGAGACTAGAAATGCATGGCCATGCTCGAATAAGTTGATATGAGATGTCACAAATTATTCGTTTATTATAGTCTACTCTAGATATCAAGGAATAATAGATGGACACAAGTGTGATTATTCCAAGACTTGTTCATATTCTAGATATAAAGGACAAAAGGATATAATACATTGAAATACTTAGTCACGAACATGTTATGTCAAATCATGACTTCCTATAACTTAGGTAACAATGACATATTACTTAGGCCTGTAAATGAACTGAACGTTCAGCGAACCGTTCATGAACCGTGCGGCGGGAAGTTCGTTTATGTGTGTTTATTTATTAAATGAACGAACATGAACAAGATTTTGTGTTCGTTTAATTAAATGAACGAACATGAACATATGTCTCGTTCGTTCATTTACGTTCGTGAACGTTCGGTTATGTCCGTTCGGTTATATTTGGTTATGTTCGTTTATGTTCGTTCGGTTATGTTCGCTTATGTTCATTCATTTATGTTTAACTCAATCTTCTTAAATCAATTTTGGTGACCAATTTGTACGTATCTTAAAAATATTAATTAATCTGATATTCTGATGACCAATTCCATAATTAACCCAATTTTATTTGGAGATTAAATCCAATATGTTAACCCGTGAGGCACCTCACACCTATATTCATTTCCCCCTTTTTTCCCAAACCCTAGTGTTCACTAGAGAGTGGAGACGATCGTTGAAAGCTTCAAAACAAGTTATATTATAGTGCAATCTGAAGTTTTACAGATATGCTTTCATCTCTTTATCTGTTTTATTTGACTTAATAGTTTATATGTAAAGTTATTGTTGGTATCTTCACATCTAAAACTCAAGAAAACATTATACTTCTTTCTAGAAATAGATGGGAAGATAAAGGTAACAATCGGAAGTATATGAACATCAATAAAGAGAAAAATATATAGAATTTGCCAGAAAACAAAACAAAGGTTTCTATGTAATTTATGCAAAAGAGTGTAATAGCGGAAGTAATGAGTTTTCCATGAAGAACTCATTAATAAGTAGAAAATACACTTTGACAATGAACTTTTGTTTTCATAGTTCTTGTGTGACATTTAGTTGTGGAGTAGACTTTAGGTACGTTAAAATTTTGAATGGTGGTTTAGCAATAATATCAGTTACGATATTGTTGAAAACATTTTGATATTTCGATATAACAAATTAAGTTAAAATGAATTTTAAGATTTTTCAAAATGATTTTCTAAGTATATTCGATATAATTATTCGAATATCAAAACATTACTCAAAATATTTCAAAAATCATTTTTAATCCTTACTTAAGTGTAAAATTAAGTTTTAATCTTAAAACAATTTCAAAATAATCTTTCAAAGTATTTCGAACCATTTCAAAGCCAAAAATTCTAGATTGCTCAGAGGGAACCGATTCCCCCCCAAGGGGGTACCGATTCCCCCCTGAAGGGTTTGGCTCCGAGATTTTCAGAATGCTCGGAGGGAACCGATTCCCCCATAGGGGGTACCGATTCCCCCTGTTCAACGGTTGAAATATTTGAATTTTACACTTAGGGAACCGATTCCCCATAGGGGTACCGATTCCCCCCACGCTCCAAACTATTTTATTAATTGTTTTCACACTAAAACGGCTATATGATCTTCACTAATCATCCCCAACGTTCAGAAGAGATTCAAGGTGTATTTAAACAAGTTCTGAATCCCTTGATCAACAAGAAAATATAGAGAAACAAGAGAGAAAGCATAAACACCAAGTTTGTGCAAATCAAGCCAATTTTCCTTTCAATATTCATTTTGCTTTCAAGAACACCATTTTGTGCTCATTTGTAATTATCTTTGAGTGTTCTTTTCTTGTTCTAGAATTGTGCAAACATCTTACCTTGTGAGGTTTTCTTGTAAGTTTGCAAATTTGTAATCTTCTCTTTGGGAAAAAGAGTGTTCTCAAGAGTTGGGGTATACTCTTGAGGGATTTTGTAAGGTTATCTCTTTGGCCTCAAAAGAAAGAACAAATTAGTGAATTTGTTGGAAAATCCTTAGTGTGGATAGCTAAGGTAGTGGACGTAGACTTTGTTTGAGAAAGTCGAACCACTGTAAATCGATGTGCAATTACTTTCAATTTTTCTGCAAAAGCTTCCACGAAATTTTTAATTGCCAATTCACCCCCCTCTTGGCCGATTCCGTCGATCGATTAACTCAACAATTGGTATCAGAGCCTAACTCATTTGAAGGTTTAATCACCTCTTGAGTCGATTCGGGAAGAGTTATATCGATTATTAAAGTCATCAATGGCCTCCTCTTCAAACTTCGACTCCGGTCTCGATTCGATGCCCGTCAACAAGCCTCCTTTCTTCAATGGAGCTAACTATGCCTATTGGAAGAATAGAATGATGTACTTCATTCAAGCAAGTGACATGGGAGCATGGAATGCTGTAGAAGAATGATACATCAAACCTCTCACTCATCCAAGGTTGTGGAGTGAAGGAGAGACAAGAATGTTCCAGCTCAACTCCAAAGCCCATCCATATTATTTTTTGTGCTCTTGGACCAGATGAATACGGAAGAGTTTCATCGTGTACAACCGCCAAAGAAATATGGGACAAACTTCAAGTCACACATGAAGGTACAGATGAGGTAAAGAAATCAAAAATTAGTATTCTAACGCATAGCTATGAAAATTTCAGGGTGAAACCAAATGAAGACATCAAAGCTATGACAGATAGATTTTCAACGATTGTCAATGGTCTCAAATCATATGGAGAGATCATTTCAAATGAAAAGCTTGTGAGGAAGTTAGTCTACTCCCTCCCAAAATCATGGCAATCAAAGAAGACAACAATCATCGAGTCTAAGGACCTATCGTCCTTAACTCTTGAAGAACTTATCGGTTCACTCCTCACTCATGAGATGATGCTTGAAGATGAGGTGGACCTTGATAAAGTTGAAGAGACACCAAAGGAAAAGGAGAAGAAGAAAAATATTGGAGTTGCTCTCAAATCCACAAAAGATGAGAGTGATTCTAATAATGATGATGATGACGAGGAAATGGCATTGTTTGCCAAACGGTTCAGAAAAATGATGAGACCTTACCAAGGAAGAAAATTCAAACGAAATGAAGGCCTCAAAAATGAACCAAAAGAGAATGACCCAATCATTTGCTATGAATGCAAAAAGCCGGGGCATGTCAAATATGATTGCCCATAATTGAAGAAAAATGGTCAATCAAAGAATAAGCACAAGGCTCATGTGGCTACATGGAGCGATGAAGAAAGTTCCGATGAAGAGGAACAAGAAGTAGCAAACTTGTGCTTGATGGCATTCGGGGAAGATTCTAAGGTAACCTCTAACTCATCCAATTTTGATGATTTATCTTAAGATGAGTTATTTGAGGAGTACAATGGGTTGGCTTCGGATTATGAGAAATTGTTTTTAAAATATAAAAATGATGTTTTAAAATTGAAAAATGAAAACAAACTCATATCCAAAACCAACAACGATCTTGAAAGTAAAATCAAAGATTTACAAATCAAACTAGAAGAGTTTGAAAAGAAAAATTTAGATTTGCAAAATTTACTTTCAAAGATCAATGATGATCATCAAAACAAAATTGATGATCTTAAAACTTCTTTTGATAAAGTTGGAACAAAACATCTTGAAAAAGGTGGAAATTCAAAATCCAACTTTGTTAGAAAAAGTTTTAGAAACTACAATCATAGAGGTCCCCAAAGAACCTCTAATTGAAAAATCATTAGAAGTATGTGGGTTCCTAAAGAACTCATTACTACTAAAGATAAAAATATCCTACACAAATGGATACCTAAGGGGACTAGGATTTTGGAAACTAATGAATATGGACCCAAAAGAATTTGGGTACCAAAAATCAAAAATTAATCTATGTTTGTAGGGAAAGGAGCATTGCTATAAGGCACGGGAAACAAATTCAAATTCATGGTACCTTGATAGTGGATGCTCAAGACATATGACCGGAGACAAAAGCCGGTTCATTGAGCTTAACGCCAAAAATGGAGGAGAATTGACTTTTGGAGACAATTCAAAAGGTCACATTGAAGGTATTGGTACAATAGGTAATACCTCTTCCATACAAATTAAGAATGTTTTATATGTGAATGGATTAAAGCATAATCTATTGAGTATTAGTCAATTATGCGATAAAGGATTCAATGTCTTATTTGAAATTAATGGTTGTAAAGTCATTGACATTGCATCTAATCGGATTATACTTGTTGGTCATAGAATAGGAAACATTTACATGGTGTATTTAGATTCTATTGATATGACTAATTTATGCCTAGTTGCTAAGGATGAGCATGATAGTTGGTTATGGCATAGGAGACTAGGTCATGCTAGTATGAGTGTTTTGCAACGGTTAATTCAATGAGACTTATTAAGAGGGTTGCCTAAGCTTAAATTTGATAATGATAAAATCTGTGATGCATGTGCTAAAGGAAAACAAAAGCGAGTTTCTTTTAAATCTATTAATGATGTATCAACTAGTAGAGTATTACAATTGATCCATTTAGATCTTTTTGGGCCAACTAGAACTACTAGCTTGGGAGGAAAACAATATGCATTTGTCTTGGTAGATGACTATTCTAGATACACTTGGGTTCTATTCTTAAGTACTAAAGATGAAGCATTAGAAAATTTCATCACATTTTCGAAAATAATCCAAAATGAAAAAGGTTACTCTATCACCAGTGTTAGAAGTGATCATAGAACTGAATTTGAAAATCTTGGATTTATTGAGTTTTGTAATTCTAATGGTATTAGCCATAATTTTTCAGCACCTAGAACCCCTCAACAAAATGGAGTTGTTGAGAGGAAAAATCGAACTTTAGAAGAAATGGCTAGAACCATGCTTTGTGAAAATAATTTGCCAAAATATTTTTGGGCGGAAGCCACAAATATCGCTTGTTATGTTGTAAATCGAGTAATGATTAGGCCAATTTTAAAGAAAACACCATATGAAATTCTCAAAAATAAAAAGCCTAACATTAGCTATTTTCATCCTTTTGGATGTAAATATTTTGTTTTAAACAACGGTAAAGAAAATCTTGGCAAATTTGATGCTAAAAGTGATGAAGGAATTTTTCTGGGTTATTCCTTAAATTCTAAAGCTTATCGTGTATTTAATAGAAGAACTTTAGTTGTAGAAGAGTCTATACATGTTGTTTTCGATGATAATCGCCTTCCGAGGAAGGATTCTTCTGTTAATGATGATGTAGGTATTGTACAAGCAAATGACGTTAGACATGACGTTGGAGAATCATCATCAAAGGAAGAAACAAAAGATGAGGAAACTCATGATCCCCTCGAGAATCCAACCAGTGAAGAAAGGGAAGTATCTTTTCCAAGAGAGTACAACTATGTCAAGGATGGTGAAATTATAGGTGATCCATCAAAAGGGGTAACTACTCGATCTTCTCTTAGAAATATCTGTAATTATGTTGCATTTATTTCTTTCATAGAGCCTAAGAACATCAAAGAAGCATTAAAAGATGAACATTGGATTATGGCTATGCAAGAAGAATTAAATCAATTTGAGAGAAGTAAAGTATGGACATTAGTTGAAAGGCCTAGTAATAAATCTACTGTAGGTACTAGATGGGTTTTTAGAAATAAACTTGATGAAAGTGGTAATATAGTGAGGAACAAGGCTATACTCAAGAAGAGGGCATAGACTATGATGAAACATACGCTCCCGTAGCTAGGATGGAAGCAATTAGAATGTTATTAGCATTTGCATGTTTCAATGAATTTAAATTATATCAAATGGATGTTAAAAGTGCATTTTTAAATGGTTTTATAAAAGAAGAAGTGTACGTGGAACAACCTCCAGGTTTTGAAGATTCAAATTTTCTGGATCATGTTTTAAAATTGACAAAAGCTCTTTATGGTTTAAAACAAGCTCCTAGAGCTTGGTATGAAAGATTGTCAAATTTTTTAATTGAAAAAGGTTTTTTAAAAGGAAAGGTTGACACTACATTGTTTTTAAAGAGAAAAGGTAAAGATTTATTAGTAGTTCAAATTTACGTTGATGATATAATATTTGGTTCTACTAATGATGTTCTTTGCCAAGAATTTTATAAGCTAATGCAAAGTGAGTTTGAGATGAGTATGATGGGGGAGCTCTCATTTTTCTTGGGACTCCAAATCAAGCAAAGAAAAGATGGCATCTTCATTAATCAAGCTAAGTACGTCAAAGATATGCTCAAGAAGTTTGGACTGGAAAATGGGAAACCTCATAACACTCCAATGAGCTCTTCAACAAAGCTTGACTTAGATGAAGGAGGTAAATGTGTAGATGTTAAATTATATAGGTCAATGATTGGCTCTTTGCTTTATCTAACCGCAAGTAGATCGGATATTATGTTTAGTGTTTGCTTGTGTGCTAGGTTTCAATCATGTCCTAAAGAATCACATTTACTAGCTGTTAAGAGAATCTTTAGATACCTTAAGGACACTCCTAGTTTAGGACTTTGGTATCCTAGAGACTCTAGCTTTAGCTTGCATGCCTTTTCTGATGCGGATTATGGAGGATGCAAATTAGATAAGAAAAGCACCTCCGGTACTTGCCAATTCCTTGGAAATATGTTGATTTCTTGGTTTTCAAAGAAACAAAATTGTGTGGCATTATCTACCACTGAAGCGGAATACATTTCAGCCGGTAGTTGTTGTGCACAAGTTTTATGGATGAAACAACAACTTTTTGATTATGAAATTGAAGTAGGTACCATTCCTATCAAGTGTGACAATACTAGTGCTATTTGTCTCACTAAAAATCCCATCCAACACTCTAGAACTAAGCACATTGAAATAAGACATCACTTCATTAGAGACCATGTCACTAAGGAAGATGTAGTTCTAGAATATGTTGATACTTTGCATCAATTAGCGGATATCTTTACAAAACCCTTAGACAAGGAAAGGTTTTGGACACTTAGAAGAGAATTGGGTTTAACTAACCTATCTTCACTTAGTGTTTAAAATAATTTAGCACTTTTAATAAATACTGAAAAATGCTTATAATAATAATTTTTGATTGCATTCTTGCTATTAGTTAGGGGGAGTTTATGATTCTTAGTGAAAATTAATTTTATGTTCAAATAATGTTTAAAGATTAATTTAATTGTTTGAACATAATTATTTTTCAATATATGAGTTGCCTATACCACTAGAAAAGATTTATTTAGCATTTTATGTGCTTAAAAGTCGGATTTTAGCATTTTGGTGCAGAGGGAATCGATCCCCCCATGAGGGAACTGATTCCCCCTTTAAAGGGGAATCGATTCCCCCCACAGGGGAATCGATACCCCCCTGGGGTTCTGTTAAATCGGGTAGAACACCCCCAAAAACCCCAAAACCCTCCTTTTCTTCTTCTTCCGCCGTTCTTCACCTCTAAATCTCTCAAATCTCCATTTTTGCCTCAAATCAACGATATTAATCGGAATTTGCTTCAAATATCATCTTCTAAATCTGTTGGAATCATTAAAATCGTGCAAACAACATCAAAATCCCCTCAATCTTCATCTTTCAAGGTAAATTTTTCTAAACTCTCTATTACATTGATTTTGAAACTAAGATTAGTTTTAATTAGTTATAGGTTAAAATAGTGATTGGGCATTGATTGTTTAGTGATTAAAAACTAGATGTTACAACTAATTTCATCAAAAACACAAGAATTTTCCAAAAAAAAAAAATTTAAATTTTCGAAATAAAAAAAAATGTTAATTTTCAAATTATTGTGTTTTGATTAAATTATGTTGTTGTTATTAAAACTATACATATATTGTTTCTCAAAACCATATTTTTCAAAAGTTTTTCAAAAACTTTTCCCATTAGGATTGATTTAGAGAACCTTGAAATATTGAGGACTCAATTGAGTTTTGGGATTAATTGAATTGCATACATTTGTTTTTAAAATTGCAGGTTATCAATTCTATTCTGATTTCCTAAACCATGTCTAATCCTAAACGTGCTAGGTCTTCATCTAGTCGTTCTAGTCGTCAACCAAATCCTCCTCCTATTCCTCAAAATCCTATTCCAAATCTTGATCCTAACTTGACTATCCAAAATTCTTGTTTCAATCAACCGGGTCCTAAAGATTATCGTTATTGGTTTTACCAATATTTTGACTCGTATAAGATTAGGGAAGAACGTATCCCATCTCTTCAAACTATGGTTGATATTAACTTTAAATATCTCCCTATCTTGCACGAATGGAAATTTGATAAACTTTTCGAACTTGAACCCATTGTCTATCATCAACTTGTTCGTATCTTCTACTGTAATGCCGTTTGTATCAAAAATCGTGACAAAACCAAAACCATAGGAGTACGTTTCTACCTCCTAGGTCAATATTTCCATCTTGATCCGGATTACATAGCCAATGCCTTAGGCTTGGATAATGAAGGTTTATCAAACGAAAAACAAGTTTTAGGCTCACGATATAAACGGAATGATAGTGCAAGTGTTCTAGATCTTCATGAGCGTTTTCTTCATCTCATGATCACTTGGTGGTTTCGACCATCCGGGGGTCGTTATTCTACTCTTAGAGCTTTAGACCTTTGGTGGTTGCATTGTTTTGAACACAACATAAAAATAAACCTTTCCGAGATTATCTTTGCTGAGATCGTTGAAACCGTTAACCTAGTGCCAAATAAGAAACTCTGTTCTTCACTAGTTTACGGTTGTATCCTTAGTAATCTCTTTTCTAAAGCCGAGCTTCGAGTTGGTCTAGATGCCGCTTTTCCTCTTAAGAAACAAATCAATCTTCTTTCTTTAACAAGAGCGGGATGGGTCAAAAATAAAGAAACCGTGAATGGGTTCGATCTTCTGCAACTACTCCGGGAGCTAGTTCTTCACAAGCTCCACCCGAAGCTGACGAAGATCCAGAGTTTGACCAATTAATGAGGGATATCGATGAAGCTGAAGATGAGCCTGAGCAACCCGAGGAGCACGCACAACAATCGACTCAAATGCCTCCATATTTTCAATATTTTATGGAGACATTTGATTACCGATATGCGACCATGGATTCGCGCTTTACTTCTATAGAGTCCCATCTATCCACAATGGGAGCTCAACAATTAGAAATTCTTCAGGAAATGCGTGCAAATAATGAAGCAACCAATGCACGTATTAATGACCTCACTAACGAAATATCCGCTATGCGAGCTCGATTTCCTCCTCCTGATCTGGATATGTTATTAAATGTTTTACTTTGAACTCCAAACTTATTGTTTTAACATTTTGAATATTTTGGAATGTTTGATTTTGTGGATTGTTGGATTTTGGATTTATGGATGGTGTGAACTTATATGTTTGGTGTGTTTTATTCATTATTGCATCATTTACATCATTATTAGCAATATGACCAATTTTGCCATATCACATTATTTATGAATATTGATTACGGAACTAATGGCTAACATTTCTCTTAATTGTGATCTTAGCAGCTTATGCATACATATACCTAATCAATTGGCTTAATATCTTTCACGTTCATTTGAATCTTTTTGATTTAACAAAAAGGGGGAGAAGTGTGTTTTAAGTGTGTGTTTTAAAAAATGATAAATGGGAGAAGTGTTAAAGTAAGGGGGAGTAATTTCAAAACTTGATTTCAAAATCTTAAAAATTACTAAAATGTTTTGTTATATCAAAAAGGGGGAGATTGTTGAAAACATTTTGATATTTCGATATAACAAATTAAGTTAAAATGAATTTTAAGATTTTCCAAAATGATTTTCTAAGTATATTCGATATAATTATTCAAATATCAAAACATTACTCAAAATATTTCAAAAATCATTTTTAATCCTTACTTAAGTGTAAAATTAAGTTTTAATCTTAAAACAATTTCAAAATAATCTTTCAAAGTATTTCGAACCATTTCAAAGCTAAAAATTCCAGATTGCTCAGAGGGAACCGATTCCCCCCCAAGGGGGTACCGATTCCCCCCTGAAGGGTTTGGCTCCGAGATTTCCAGAATGCTCGGAGGGAACCGATTCCCCCATAGGGGGTACCGATTCCCCCCTGTTCAACGGTCGAAATATTTGAATTTTACACTTAGGGAACGATTCCCCATAGGGGGTACCGATTCCCCCCACGCTCCAAACTGTTGTATTAATTGTTTTCACACTAAAACGACTATATGATCTTCACTAATCATCCCCAACGTTCAGAAGAGATTCAAGGTGTATTTAAACAAGTTCTGAAGCCCTTAATCAACAAGAAAATATAGAGAAACAAGAGAGAAAGCATCAAACACCAAGTTTGTGCAAATCAAGCCAATTTTCCTTTCAATATTCATTTTGCTTTCAAGAACACCATTTGTGCTCATTTGTAATTATCTTTGAGTGTTCTTTTCTTGTTCTAGAATTGTGCAAACATCTTACCTTGTGAGGTTTTCTTGTAAATTTGCAAATTTGTAATATTCTCTTTGGGAAAAAGAGTGTTCTCAAGAGTTGGGGTATACTCTTGAGGGATTTTGTAAGGTTATCTCTTTGGCCTCAAAAGAAAGAACAAATTAGTGAATTTGTTGGAAAATCCTTAGTGTGGATAGTTAAGGTAGTGGACGTAGACTTTGTTTGAGAAAGTCGAACCACTGTAAATCGTTGTGCAATTACTTTCAATTTTTCTGCAAAAGCTTCCACGAAATTTTTAATTGCCAATTCACCCCCCTCTTGGCCGATTCCGTCGATTGATTAACTCAACAGATATGTAGCATCGAAGGGATTTCGGATCTATGTTATTGCCTTGTAGTCCAATTTATACCGTTCGAAATCTTAATGCTGTTAAATTTTATACTCTGCCAACGGAAATGACCATTATTAAAAAACCTTACTAAAGTCTGACATTGATGTCACAAAACTTTTAGCCGGCGAATTTATTAGAATAACGTAGTGGAAAAATGATTGTTCATATGTAATCATGGACCACTAAGATAAATGTTATATCGTTAAATTAAAGTTGTGTGAATCATTTAATATCTTTAAAAAATCGATCGAAATATTTGATATCTTCAAACATTTCATCACTGCTAATCAGCTCTTACGCTATTTATCATTGTAGATTTAGTTGATTTGCATTGTCAACTATTTTTCATGAAAGAACAATGGAAGGTAGGGTCTCCAACGTTTATGTTCGTTTATGCTCGTGTTCGTTTATGTTCGTGTTCGTTTATATTCGTTTATTTATTAAATGAACGAACATGAACAAGTTATATTCCTTAATAAACGAACATGAACAAAAAAAAAATTGTTCGTTTATGTTCGTGTTCGTTTATGTTCATTTTTTTATTAAATGAACGAACATGAACATACATCCGGTCGTGTGTGTTCGGTTCGTTTATAGGCCTAATATTACTAGATATCACTCATTGTTTGTAATATCAGAATAGTTCTAATTATTACTACTAACATTACAAGAACCTACAGGGTTGCATTCAATGGTTGAAAAATAGAGCAACTTATAAATGTATCACATATGTACAATTTGATTGTACATGAATAAAATGTGTATTTAATATATATATATATATATAATATGTGAGTAATTTTAATTACACATGAATACCTAATTTAATAATGTAATTAAAGTAATTATATTCCTAATTAAATTCGGAAATTTTAAAAGTCTTAATAGCTAGGGCGACACATATATAAGAGATATATTGGTCTTTGCATTCGTTTTAATGTTTTTTGGAAAAATATCGAAATTCCTAAAAAGGTTTTGCTCTTAACTGCTATTCAACTGGGTGAACTAAGTAGAGTTCAAGGCGAATTTTTGTGGAGGTTAGGATTCGAACTGCTCGTGACTTTCATTAGCCGCTACTGTATTTGTTGATTTTCAAGGAACCCAATGTAAGTAATCACATCTCTTCCTCCCGATTTCGAATTTAAAGTACTTGGATTGCTGGTGAGTCTGTCACATTTTGTTTCTGCCGCGTTATGTGTGCGCTGTCGGTCCCAACCCATGCAACCAAAGCCAAAACACATGATATGGGGCACATGTCGTTGTCGCATTATGGCACCCATTCATAGCACAGTTGTGCTATCCGAATCAAATACAAAACAGTAGTAGTTCATAAGGGGCTTTCCTAGTAGTTTTGACTATGCTTTCGTTATGAATTTAGTTGGTTTTCATCACTTGGTCACTTTAATTAGGCCTTTTTAGATGTATGGTGGATAAAATAAATATTCATCTGATCATTTGTTTTTTCAAAAATCTCTCAATTTCGAACAAATGAACATTAAGGGGAAGATAGGGCTTCATTGGAGTTTTATTACTGCTGTTCTGAAAGCATTAGACCTTCCTCACAGATTTATTGACTGGATTGAAGCCTGCTTCTCTGGAGTAAGATTCTCAATATCTTTCAATGGAAGCTTGATTGGATTCTTTAAGGGAGCAAGAGGCATAAGGCAAGGAGACCCTCTCTCACCAATTCTCTTTGTTTTATCTATGAATGTCCTTTCCAGACTCCACTCAACTTGGCTGCCATTAGAGGACTGTTTAATTACCATCCTAAATGCAAGCAAATAGGGCTTACCCACTTATCATTTGCTGACGATTTGTTGATATTTTGTAAGGGTAATGTGGAGTCTGTTGCAGGAGTTATCTCTGTCCTTGATCAATTCTACGAAATGTCATGTTTGAATCTTAATGCTGCCAAATGTGTTTTCTTTACTGCTGGTACTTCTACTAGAACTGTCGAGACAATCAAACACTTTACTGGTTTCAATCTTGGAAGTTTGCATGTTCGCTACCTAGGAGTTCCACTAATTACTAGGAAACTCTCTGAGAAAGATTATGATAATCTTATTGAAAACATTAAGTCACGACTTAATCTATGGTCTGGTAAATTTCTGAGTTTTGCTGGTAGACTGGAGCTAATTAGAGTCGTCCTGTTCAGCATTGCAAACTACTGGTGCAGACAGCTTCTTCTTCCTCAATTTGTTATCAACAAGATCGAGCAACTCTGCTCTCGATTCTTCTGGAAAGGAACCGATAAGGCTGCTACAGGCGCACGAGTCAGTTGGGAGAAAATATGCCAACTCAAATCTGAGGGAGGTCTTAGACTGAAGAACTTAAAATCCTGGAATCGAGCTTGCATGATAAAACTCATAAAGAATATCCTTGCAGGAGAGGGGTCGCTATGGGTTGCTTGGATCAAAACATACGTGTTAAAGGAGAAAAACTTTTGGCACATTGAAGGGGGTCCTAATTACAGCTGGAGTTTCAACAGAATCCTTAAACTTCGATCAGAAGCTTTACCAGCAATCACGAATAGAACCATCCCCATAAGAGATATTTGGCAGGAAATTAGGATGAATGCGAATAAAGTTTCATGGCATACCTTGATCTGGTTCCCACTCCATATTCCTAAACTCAGCATAATTGCATGGATGGCAATTCTAGATCAACTTCCAACTCGTGATCGACTTCAACGAATGGGGATTATCACTACTGGGGACTGTGTCCTTTGTAATGTTGCACTGGAAACTCGGTCTCATTTGTTCTTTGAATGTCCCACGGCTTCTAATTTATGTGTGAGATCATTTTACAACACAATGGGTTAAAGAAATCAATTTCTTATTGGGAGGACATGATTGTTTGGGCATGCAATTCTTGGAAAGGCAAGTCTCTTATTTCCACTATTTTAAAACTTGCATGGTGTGCTAAAATCTATGTTTTGTGGGAGGAGCGTAATCGAAGAATCTTTTAAGGAAGATCAAGATCTACTGATGATCTTTTTATTTGCATCAAAGAATTTGTAGGTATTAAACTGAGGGGGAAAAAGATCAACATGTTTGATAGTGTTAAACTTTCCTATATAATTCTTGGGCAATACCAGAAGAGGCGTTCGCATAAGGCATGGGCACGGCTTATTCATCCAGAGCTAACGCAGAAGAAGTCTTCAGTTAAGGCTTGGGCACGGCTTATTCATCCGGAGCTAACGCAGAAGAAGTCTTCAGTTAAGGCGTGGGCACGGCTTATCCATCCCGAGCTACTGCAAAAGAATCTCTACTTAAGGCGTGGGAACTTATTCACCCACATCTTTCGCAGAAGAAATATTCAGTTATGGCGTGGGCACGCCATCTATCGGCTCAGTTTGAGTTTTTATCGGATCCAGTTTTTTGGTATTCGTTTTTTGGATTGGTTTTCGGTATATTATTGGATCGGATTGTAGCTATACACTTTTATTTGATTTGTAGCAGACTCTCTGCTTCTTTGGGTAATAAAATTCAATTTATCCAAAAAAAACATTAAGGGGCAGATAATGTTATTCAACCGATCATTCTTTTTTTTTCCTTTGATTTTTTCTTTTGAAAATTATAGGGGGTGTGATCGCATCCCACAACACCCCTCAATCCATCCCTGGATCTAAGGGCAACATCAACTTTATTCTTCTCCACTTTCACTTTTTTTTAGCCTTCTGTTGATCATCATTTCATGAATAAGTAACGAATCAATAAATCCATCAAATGTTAGTATCTCCAAGTTCTTTGCTTCCTCTATGATAACCACTTTAGGTTGTCAAGACTTTGGTAAGTTTATTAGCAAACTTTCTCAGTCTTTTCATTTGGATGAGCCTTCTCATATTGTAAACTAATGATGATTGTAAAATAATCTTTACATATTGTATATAAGATAAGTTTTATGTTTAACAATCAATTACTTTTCTAAAATAATATATACAATTCTTAAGTTTGTTCTTATTTTCAAGTTTTTATCTTGACTGGAAATTTATATATATAAAAACATATATTAAATAGATAAAAAAAATCCCAATTATACAGAAGCATAACCTCATCAGAAGATATTTCCATTTCGTCGTGGACTTTAGGGGTAAATTGGCTCTTTACCTATAAAAGTTTGAAAAACACAAATCAAAATGTCTTAGGTTAAGCCGAATTTCACTACACAAAGATTGATTTTCTGCCTTTCACATTTATAGAATGACCAAGACTTTGAAAATCGATGTGTTTGGTATGAGTTCTGAAATGTATGCGAATTGAAAATAATTTTTTTTTATTGCCCTCCGTTCTAAGGTTTCACTATGACTAATCTAAACTGACTCGGATCGTACACATGGTTTTGGAGGGTGAGTCTCACAGCGGGAATTTTTGTGTATACACAAAGACTCGAACTTGAGACCTTATTTAAGCGATATCAAGCTACTTACCACTTAAACTAACCCGTTGATTGAATCGATAATAATTTTATGGTCAAAAGGATTATACCCTTTTTTCCTCTTGCCAATATAAATTTATTAGTTTTGTTGAGGTAGTAATGTCTAAGATTGAATAGCTAATCCTTTAGGTTAAGATCAATAGAATTCAGGGATGTGATTTATTTATATTAGTGTAAAATTAAATATTATCGCATATTTTATTAAATTTTTGCAGTATTAATATTTCAACAAGGAGATTTTTTATTATACATATTGCGTAAAATATGTTTTATATAACCTTTTTTTGATGTTATATGTCCTACTTAAGATTTAGGGGTTATATTTTAGGGTTTAATATTTTAGATTTAGGTATCAGATTTATACTTTGACTTCAGGTTTAAAGTTTTATAATTTTTGATTTAGGATTAGAATAGATATGTTATATACAGTCATCCTTTTTAACAATCTAATCTTTGAATTTCATATTTCATTCGCGTAAATTGTGCATGTCAAAATTTGTATAAATTTAAAATATCTAACTGTTGTTTCAAGCACAGATCAAGTGACATCGATAGTAAAAGAATGGTTGTTATTACTTGAGGTTCTGGATTCGAGCGCCATTAATGTCAGGGGCGTAAAAGTTGAGGAACATAATTCAACATGCATGAAAGAAAAGGAGTTAATGCAAATCATGCAGAGCAGGAAAGATTCATGATATACCCCATATTTGTAAAGGACTGCTTAAAAGAAAACATAAGACTTTGTTGCCTACATTGATGATCCAGGTACTGCTAGGGACCCAAAGTATCGAAGTCAAATAATCCAGAGGCCATATCCCAGCCACAAATGACTTAAATCATCATGAATTCAAGGTCTCAATCTCCCTAAGCAAATTCAGGGCAAACAAAAATCTTTTCAGAGCCTAATTAAAATTCCTGTTGGTTTATTGATTGAAACCCAAACTGCTACATGTGGAAATTTTGGCAGTGGCATTAAGTGATGGCTAATTTCTGACCAAGAGCTTCAAAGCTGGTGATATCATTATCAACCACATTGGCTCATCTTTCAGATTTCATCCAATAATAAATATCAGTTGACTTTGCTAAATTTTATGAAATATTTGTTTTTTAAATCTTATGTCCTAACAAAAAAGTTTATGTCCTGAAAGATTATCTTTCAATGACAACACTCGAATCATCTCAAACTAACATAATAAGGAACATTCCTACCATTGGGCTTCGGAAACCAACATTGCCTCCTTAGACAGTTTAACCCGATATAAAGATCGTTGCTTGATCAAGAAGAAAATCTCAGACACTATGAATTTATTGAGCGACTCTAATGATAAAATGGAGTATTATTCTCTATAAGTACTTAAGTTCGAGTAGTTATGTTTGCAGGATATGTGTTATTAATATCTAAAAAATTATGAGTATATATTATCTCATAATCACTCCAGATTATTTAAAAATATCGGCAAATCGATTTATCGTCCTCAAGATATAATCTCTTTTATTTCAAGAACTTCATCTTCGATATCCTGTTCATGAATACGAGTCTTTTGAATCAAGGTGAATTTGGGCTTTGATTTACATTTTCGTCTTTGGGTCTTTACCTCATCAAATTAAACTGGTTTTAATTGGTTTATGACTTGATTTAGAAATATTGCCAAAAATTAGGGATATTAATTCTTAAACAAACCTGTTAAAGCTCATGTGTGAAACAAAAAATGGAAAGAAAAATAGATGATTTAGAAATATTGTCTAATTTTTTTAATATAATAAAGAGACCTAATTATAACGGTCACTATCTAATTACAGGCCACTTACCATTAATATTTAACGAAAGTGTTGATTTAACAGTTAATAAAATTAATATAATTACACATTTGATCCTTAATACATTCTTTTAATTTTATCATAATTTTAATTTAATTTATAAATTTAATCTCTAATTAAATATCACTACTAGATTAGATGATATTTTATAGATTTTAATTATATAATTATGCTCAGGTGGGGGTCGAACCAGCAACCTAAAGCTCCCTTAGGCACACCAAAACCGCTAGGCTAGGTCCCTCAATTAGTAATTGATTATGATATATAATTTGTTATAACTAATGACAGTTGGGAAAAAAAAAAAAGAAACTAGCATGATTTTAAAGGAATTCAAACTTTTTTTTTTTTGAAGAAGGAATTCAAACTTGAGATTTAAAGAGAGAGTGCAAACACCTTAATCATTAAACTAGGCCATATATTCGATTAAAATTTACAATAATATATGTATATATATGTAAAATCCTAATTTTGTCCATACAATTCAAATCGAGTTGAAAGTGTGACCGAGCACAATTTTGAAGATGTTCATGCATTGTATCGAATTAATTCAAGTGGTGCGGGTAGGCCTGTAAACGAATCGAACGCACATGAACGGAGGTATGTTTATGTTCGTTCATTTAATAAATAAACAAACATAAACGAACACGAACATAGACGAACATAAATTTTTTTGTTCATGTTCGTTCATTAAGGAATATAGCTTGTTCATGTTCGTTCATTTAATAAATAAACAAACATAAACGAACACGAACATAGACGAACACGAACATAAACGTTGGAGACCCTACATTCCATTGTTCTTTCATGAAAAATAGCCGACAATGCAAATCAACCAAATCTACAGTGATAAATAGCGTAAGAGCTTATTAGCAGTGATGAAATGTTTGAAGATATCAGATATTTTGATCGATCTTTTAAAGATATTAAATGATTCACACGACTTTAATTTAACGCTATAACATTTATCTTAGTAGTCCATGATTACATATGAATAATCATTTTACACTACGTTATTCTAATAAATTCACCGACTAAAAGTTTTGTGACATCAATGTCAAACTTTAGTGAGATTTGTTAATAATGGTCCTTTCCGTTGGCAGAGTATAAAATTTAACAGCATGAAGATATCGAACGGTAAAATTGAACTACAAGGCAATAACATAGATCCGAAATCCCTCCGATTCTACATATCGTTGCTGATATTATTGCTAAACCACCATTCAAAATTTTAACGTACCTAAAGTCTACTCCACAATTAAATGTCACACAAGAACTATGAAAACAAAAGTTCATTGTCAAAGTGTTTTCTACTTATTAATGGGTTCTTCCTAGAAAACTCATTACTTCCGCTATTACACTATTTTTTCAGAAATTGCATAGAAACCTTTGTTTTGTTTTCTGACAAATTCTATATATTTTTCTCTTTACTGATGCTCATATACTTCCGATTGTTACCTTTATCTTCCCATCTATTTCTAAAAAGAAGTATGATGTTTTCTTGAGTTTTAGATGTGAAGATACCCGCAATAACTTTACATATCAACTATTAAGCCAAATAAAATAGAGAAAGAGATGAAATCAGATTGCACTATAATATAACTTGTTTTGAAGCTTTCACCAATCGTCTCCACTCTCCAGTGAACACTGGAGTTTGCTGAAAAAAGGGGAGAAATGAATATAGGTGTGAGGTGCCTTATGAGTTAACATATTGGATTTTATCTCCAAATAAAACTGGGTTAATTATGGAGTTGGTCATCAGAATATCAGATTAACTAATAATTTTAAGATACTTACAAATTGGTAACCAAAATTGATTTAAGAAGATTGGGTTAAACATAAATGAACGAACGTAAACGAACATAACCGAACAAACATAACCGAACGTTCACGAACGTAAATGAACGAACGAGACCTATGTTCGTGTTCATTCATTTAATTAAACGAACACAAAATCTTGTTTATGTTCATTCATTTAATAAATAAACGCACATAAACGAACTTCCCGACGCACGGTTCATGAAAGGTTCGCTGAACGTTCAGATTATTTACATGCCTAGGTGCGGCTGGCGTGAGTGAAAATTAGTTCACAAAATTTTTGCATTCCATTCATGGGAGCGTTAAAGAAATTTGGTCGTGAACGATGGATTTAAGCCTTTAATTTATTAGGTTTAATTGGGTACATATTCACCAAGGATATAAAGGGCCAAATTGGCCCATCAGGGCAACTGGATAAATAATTTAGCCCATTATGGCACACAAACATTTAATTCGTGATCTACGGTAAATTGAACAGTGCTCATGGAACTCGTCACGCTGGATTAATTTTTTAATGGACCCTGTCAGGTGGGCCCCACACCCGTATTAAAAAAATTCTTGAGGGACTCATCACACAGGCGTGACGAGTCCTTATAAAAAATTATTTTTTTATTTTGTAATTTTTTAAAAGAAAATTAAAAAAATAATATTTATTCTCACAGAACTCGTCACGTCAAAGTGAAGAGTTCCAACGGGTATAATTTTCAAATTTTTGACCGTTAGATTAACCGTTGTTAAACATTCGAATTTTTGTTAAAATTTTCAAAGGAACTCGTCACACCGACATGACGAGTTCCAACGGAAAAAAATATGTCTTCCCTTTAAGTTTTGCACATCATCTTCAATCTCTTACTTTATACACTACTTTCATCTTCAATCTCCTACGCAAAAAAAAAACTCATTTCATCTAACCAAAAACATTTCAAACAACGAGCAACAAATTCTTCACAGTTGTCCATTATAATGGCGAAATTCTACAAACTGAAGTTGGTGTTGTGTTTAAGTCAGACATACTGATCAATATGATGTTCCCTGTAAATGTATCGCATCGCCAAATGAAGCAAAAAATTGAGAGAAAATTTGAAGCTTTTGTTTCATGTTTAAGTTATCGGCACCTGATCTCATCAAATCCAATGACTTATGGAAAAATTCAGCTTGATGATTATGACGATGTTGTTGTTATGGTTGGACTTCATCAATCATCAGATAATAATATGGTAGAGATGTACGTCGAAACGGCGAATGCAACTGATATTCCGACGTCATCAGTACCAGCTCGAGGAACAAAAGGAGAAGGACCCTCTCAACCACATGGAAGTTATGGTGATGAGAACCTTGTTGGACGGTTCGGTGAAAGCCTTGCTGAATTTAGCGAGGATGATGAAGACATTGTTCCGTTGGTAGACGATGACGACACATCATTAGTTGATGAGTCCGATATTGTTGAGGCTGCTTCAGAGGGACAAGTTTTGGATGTTGAGGCGGATGTATGGGAGGCAACTGTTTCACAATGTAAAGGATTGCAGAATGCTCCAAATATTTGGGCAAGGACATAAATTGAACCTGAATCCAATTATCAGGATTTGCCTTGGTATCATCATGCAGTTGCAATGCACGACATTAACTACGATGCTAAGCGTAATCCTGAAATATTTGATATACCAGAGTTATGTGCTTTTTGAAGGTCAAGCATATGATTTCAAATCACTGGCTTTCATTCATACAGTACTAAACATGAGAAATTGTGCATGTGAACACATACCCAAACTTGAAATTAACATCTAATTTGAAGATAGAAAATGGACTTTTATTTATGATGTACTCTACTTAATTTTTCAAGCAGTCTCAGGTATTTGATTCATTAACCAAAGAAATAGATCCATTGAAAGAAAAAGTGAAGGACGTGCTGATGGCTTCTGCAGCTGATCCCATCGAGAATGTTACATTCATAGATACTCTACTTCGTCTTGGTCTGTCGAATCATTTCGAGAACGTTATTGAAAACCAACTGGAAAGCATTTTCAACTCCCATGAAAACGATCTAAATGACCTCGACTTAAGCTCTACTTCAATTGTGTTTCGAGTTTTCAGGCAATATGGTTTCAAAATGTCTTGCGGTAAGGATAAAAACTTCAGTTGACAAGTTACATATCAATATGTAATTAATAAATTCAATATGTGAATCAGATGTTTTCGAAAAATTCAAGGACGCTGATGGAAAGCTCAAAGGAACCCTGATTGATGATGTTAGTGCTCATAGATGCTAATGAAACCAATGTATGCTGGAATGTCCAAACCGAGGACACTTCTAGGAAGGATCTTTATGTCCATTCTACAAGCACTTGATTTGTCTCACAACACCTAGTTTTTTTTTCCTCGACAAAATGGATTTTATTAATCAAGACTTAGAAAAGAGACTCGTTAAAAACCTCCTAAACCTAAATAGAGGAGGAAAAGAATACTCTTTAACTGAGGATGTATACAACACCAAAACACGCTAATGGTGTCTCCTTCCCACTTGATCGTCTATGCATAACGCACCCAATGCCTGGTACACTATTAGAGATCACCTATCTCACGACTCACAATCATATTAACTCGGTCTATTATCAAATTATTATTATGTCAATATTATGGTCTAGAATTAACTCCAAAATACAACATCCCTCGATCCATAACGATGATAAATAATTTTTTATTTTAATTATTTAAAATGTTTTTAAATTTTTTATCTAGTTGAATAAATAAAATTGCAATTATGATGATTGTAATAATTTTAAGGGTAAAGTATAGTAATGGTCACTGAACATTTCTGAAGCTTGCATTTAGGTCCCCCAACTTTTAAAACTTGCAATACAGTCCCTCAACATTTATTCCATTTGCAATATGGTCCCCCAACTTAAATCACTATTAGAAAATTAGGGTAAATTATATAAACGGTCATTGAACTTTTTAGGCACTTGAATTTAGGTCCCCAACTTTTAAAACTTGCAAAACAGTCCCCCAATAATTTTATTTTCTTATTAAATATAGATGTATAGAAAATATAAATGATTCAAATTATATTTAAACGTATGAATCATTTATATTTTTGATATATTTTATTTTTCTTGTATAAACTAGTATTTAAAATATGTTTATATTTTAATCAAAATATTTCAATATAAGAATAAAAATATATTATATAAATGTATATTTATATTTAGATGTATAAAAAAATATATTCATATATTAATGTATGAATCATTTATATTTTTTGAATATTTTATTTTTAATAAGAAATTAAAATTATTAATTATATTAGAAATACTCAACTTAAGATTATATATAATCATGAATTATAAATATGAAAAATATAATTATTAAATTTAGTTTAAAATATAAATCTTAAATTTATTCTTTTAAAATATTGTATCAACTAATATTTAAAAAATATTAAATCTATCAAACAATTTATCAAATATAATATTTTTTATTGTAAAAAAATATAATATTTTCCCATCATTTATTGCTTTCAAATTTTTTTGCCAAAGTTCAAATCTCATTATTTCCATTTTCCATTATATTCTTTTTTTTGGCATTGGTCATACTATTAGTATATGTATTATTGTATATCTCTTAACACAAACGATGGTGTTAGCTTAGTGGCTCCACCCTGTATCTTTCATTTGCATGACTCAGGTTTGAGTTTGCCCAAGACCCAAATTTTACTTCTTTGTAACTTAATTTTCTTCTAATTAGGTGGTGACATGTGTCACCAATAACATATATCATGATCATGGGTTAACACATGTCAGATCCTGGTTAAATAATTAATTTATTAAATTTTATTTAATTTAGGACCAAATTGATAGCATATATAAATAATTAGGTGGTGACATGTGTCACCAATGACACGTGTCATGATCATGTGTTAACACATGTCATATCCTAATTAAATGATTAATTTATTAAATTCTATTTAATTTAGGACCAAATTGATTATATAAATAATAAAGACTGAATGTATAATAATGTCAATTCCTTTTAACTGCCACTTCATCATTTGTATCAATTGGTAACGACTAGTGGCTTAGTTGAAACAGTTAAATAATTATGTTGTATGATTGATAAATTTAAAAGATCGATGACAAAGTAAAAAGAGCTAGATAGTTAAGTTGTCAACCTAGTAGTTTACACTTTTATTTATACGTCAAAATAACATTTTATAAATTTAAAATTCGAATTATTTTCAACCTCTTCTATATCCTAACTACTTTTTTTAATTAAAAAATTTCTTCAACAGATAAGAATTATACTATTATATTTATATAAAAATACGTATCACATAAAATAAGATGAAATTAAATAATAATAAATCTGACATAATTGAATTATTTTGGAATTTAAGGTTTAGAATGAAATTGAATTACTTTGGAAATTGGGGTTTAGAATGAAATTGAGGACTGTTTTGCAAGTTTTAAAAGTTGGGGGACCTAAATTCAAGTGTCTGAAAAGTTCAATAACCTTTTATATAATTTATCCTAATTTCTAACGGTGGTTTAAGTTGGGAACCATATTGCAAACGGAATAAATGGTGGGGACTGTATTGCAAGTTTTAAAAGTTGGGGGACCTAAATGCAAGCTTCAGAAATGTTCAGTGACCATTACTATACTTTACCCTAATTTTAAAAGAAAGTCTCATTAGTCGAGCCCTACCATTACATGTAAGGATGGGCATGAAATTTAAACTTTAACAGGTTGTGATTCGATTTTAGAAGATAAAAAAAATTATAAAGAAAATCAGATTTGGGTCTGATTTAGTGGAGTTTTTTAAAATATAATATCAGATTGAGAAAATAATATAAATATTCCTTATATATTTAGAGATAATTGCAATAACACATTTCTCTTTTTTTTTTATTATGTACCTATTTTTCTAATAAAACTATAATTATATATATTATCTCACAGTAGAAAGGTTTTTCACTAACAAACTATAAAATTAATCCTAGAAGATGTGTACTGGCAGTGGCAGGTGGTGGAAGGAGTTGAATATCAAGGAAAGGCTTCCTTTTGGTCCAGATAGGCTGCTTTAGATTTACTTTTGGACAATGGGAATTACCCCCTCCGGGTCCCCAATTTTCCAAGTGAAGGAGGAATATAGCTATATTTGGATCCTTAGTTACTCCGCTTGGATCACTGGATGAGCTTGAGAAATATACAGATGCGCAGTAAAACTGTAATAAATAGATAGATAAATACAGATATTGATATCATATATTATTTAATGAGTACAAGATAAAAAAATTCTACTACCATTTGATTAAATAGTTACTTTGATTCTTATTCATGTTTTTTTGAAATATTTTGACCCCAAATATTTTATTTTTAGGGTAAAATAACTCTTATTTGGATTAAAATCGTTAGTTGACTAATGATGTTCTTCGCTAATGTGACAAGACATATATGTCAAAAATAATAACGTGACACATGCCACATCATCATTCAAGTACAAGTGGCATGTGTTACGTCATCACTTTCGTCATGTACTACATGCAAAATCAACACTCATATTAGGTGGGATGTGTCAGGTCAACACTTTGGACACGTAGGTTTTGTCACGTTAGTGAAGAACATTGATCGTTAGTCAACCAATGATTTTCATCCAATCAGGGGTCATTTTATTCCAAAATGAAACATTGATCATTTAATAATACGTTATGATTTCTTTTACCATTATGCTGTTTAATGGTTAGTTGGTGTGCCAAATATATCTCAACTTGCAGATGGGATCTTAAAGCAATAGAAGACCTTGCGGAGTACATGAAAATTCTTTACGAAGCCATCTATAGCCATGTTAGTGAACAGGCCCAAGATGCTTTTATGTTCTTATGAAGTTGATCCAAACAAAATCAAGAACTGTGTGAAGTCGATCCTTGGACCCGTTCCCATGGATCAATTCTGAAATTTCACCCTAAAACTATTATGTTTTTGTGTTTTCATCATCTATCACACTCGAGTCTAATAAATTGTTCTTGCTTTTCTTATTATAAATCCAATATTTCTTTATATATTTATGATTTGCCTGATTGGCGACAATACGTCCAAATAACGGATTAATACTTTCATTATATTTATAGATTGATGAAAGATATTAGTCTTAAAGGTGGGTTTGTTCAGCTATGATTTACCGTACCGGTAATACGCTCTACTTATGGTATTTACAAATATGGAGACTTTCCAAAAATGAAGAATATCATAAGCGATGAGACTTCTTTTTATGTCACATCAACATTTAACTACATAGAAACGTATCACATCAACATAAAATATTAATAGCTAGTTGACTAGTAATTAAAAATCCAAATATATATATATATATATAATACTTTTTGAAGGTCAACATATTATTTCAAGTCACTGGTTTTCATTCGTACAGTACTAAACATGAGAAATTGTGCATGGGAACACATACCCAAACCTGAAATTGACATCTAATTTGAAGATAGAAAATGAACACGGGCAAGTGTGTACTCTTTTCCACCTACCCAAACACCTGTCTGCGACCACTGCACATCTTCCCACTCAATATTCTCTACCAATACCTGTTTCATCATCATAACCATTTCATTCCTATTGGCTCTATATAGCAACCCCTCGACAAGTAGAAGCAGCATGCATTATCAAGATAGTAAATCATGAAATGTAATACCTCCACATGCTCGAGTGGAAGGGGAATTCCAATCGATCGCATCACTTTCTGGGGAAGGGGCTTCTTGCATCGAGACCATCTGAAAACATCTACGAGGACGTTATCGGATTCGTTCTTTTCACCATTTGAGGAATGCAAGTTCTGAGTTTGAGATTTCTCTGCATCTGCTTCATGTGCTTGAGAACCCGGTGCGGCTTTCACCATTTTCTCTCCGGTAAAACATAGCTCATACCTTCATAAAGTAATTTAAAATATTTACGAGTAAAAAAAGAAAAGAAAAGGCCGATAGTTTGCACATCAACTCAACTGCCGGATAGAATCCGAGCTTGAGAGCGGGACTATCAGATATTTTAAGACCAGGACAGGTACTTGAGATGATACCAGATTCTTGTCATGCTTCTTGTTAATGTTATACACAAGTTGGGTCAAGAAATTAAGCTAACAGTAATTAGAAAATGTAATTAATAAATCAAAAAGGAAAGAGGAAGAAAGGCTAAAATAAGTAATACAACCATGGAGCTTGTTGAAGAAACAATTAGAGCAATATATAAATAACAATACCTGCTGGAATGTGTCTCCAAGTACAGAACTTCACCTTTCTTCAAACGGGCTGATGTATAAAGGGGTTTCTTCAGACCTTTGTCAGCAACTATACTGATACTATACTTGATCCTGTGGAAATGGCAACATTTGTGACAGAATAAAATTCGGGTTCGGCATGATAAGAAATTAAACAGAAAGACAATCATGATAATTTCATACTCGAAACACAATAAAACTTCAGATTCTGCACCAAGGATATATACCAAAAATAAGATGCCGAATAAAAAATATCAAGACGTGAAATCAAAAATAGGTCTTGAAGGTACCAAGGCTCATTGCAGAGATTGTACTGTATTGTAACTTCTCGTACATATCTTTGCTGTCGTAAAGCATTCTGAGAATTAAAAGCATCACATGAGCTTAGTTCTATTATATGAACAGAAATACAACACGTTAATTGGCAATAGTGGTAATAAAAGAAAAGATTTCAAGAACATGAAGTTCTGCATTCCCCAACTATTTTATACATCATTACTCTTTATGAACTGCCAGAAAAATAAGCAGATATAATGTAAACCAATACCAGAAACTTAAGAAGAAGAGGCAGCATATCCAACTTATGCAGCAAACGCTTCTGTCACTGCCTATGCTTGTATCTTACTGGTTTTCGCAACACCATGCATTACTCTCGACTAGAAAAGGCATGCGCAAATACACAATGCATGTAGTTCAAATTGTATGATATACTAAATGGTCATATTTCAAGTAGTTGTAAACTTATTTCCCAATTGTGACCATGGTGCCAAAATATACGAGATACAAAAGGTCTAGCAAAGCAAACGCATTGACATGTCACACAAAGCGATACGAGCTACAAATTAAAACAACAGCCCCTTTAGAAAACACAAGACAAAACTAAAAGTTTTACTTCAAGAAATTAGATGAAAAAAAAGGAGGCAGGAAATACAGAAGCTGCTGCCCTAGTAGTAATTGTCCTTTCTACAGCAACTGGAGCAAGGGTGGGCTCCACTGTCGATGAGTGCGTGAGGCATGGCTCCAAATCAATGGTTCCACCTCCTTTCTGAATTAAAAAAAATGTCAAGAAGACACGGTATGTAAGAAAGGAAAGACATTATCCTTTATAGAATTTACCTATAAGCTTTTCACGCACTTGTTAAAACTTGTGGAATAAAGGGGTAAAAAGATCAGAAATTTGTAACCTTAACAATGCAGCATCGCTCAACACGATAACTACAACTGATTCCAGCTCCCCAAGCACGGGAACGAACATTGTTCCTTAGTTTAGAGGTGTAGCCTAACAAATTATTGATGCTATAATGTCAGAGTGATGCATAGAAACAGATTTCCAGTGGATGATAGAAATAAATAGAGTAACTGCGATAATATCAAGACCATGCCTTTTCCAGTAGAGCTAAGCAAACAAAGACACTGATGTAACCAAAAAAAATCAAACCATGACACCAATTCAGCTCGAGTAGACTTTGGTCTACCTCGTGATTCTGGGTTGAGCAACTAGAAAAAACAAATATTCCATAATAAACCTTATTATTTTTATCAGTTTTAAATGCTTACCTATCTTAAAATGTTTCCATATTAAAGCCCAACCTAAGTAGATGCACAAAGTAGAGCTCATATAGTGCTTAATTTAATATAGATATAAGCATATGTTTCTGGAATTAGTAGATAAATAAGATACAGCCGAAATTGAACTTACAATCCTGTGGGGGCAGCACACGGATAGTAGTACGTAGCTCTTGGATAGCTGGTGGAGGTGGAGAAGCAGTTGGACGGCAGTAACCAGTATGCATAAGAACTATAACAAAACACCCCAACAACACATCAACTCAAAATTTTGTGAAGCAGCTAACAGTTCTATGATTTACAAGTCCAAGGAAGGGCTAAGCCTACAGAATTCATGTTTCCATTACAACATACCAGCAACAAGATCAGAGTCATCTGTGTATATCAGTCCCCCAAAGCTGGCCACCTCTGACCTGCCCATAATGCACTTATAGAACTTAGAGAGAGGGACAGAGAGAGAAGGATAGTGACTTGGTCAACTTTATCCAATTTCAAGACATAAACCCGTCAAGATCTTCTAATTATAAAGACATCAAATATAATTTCTTTGAAAAAAAGCAAATAAAATGTAAAAGAATGCAATCAAAACAACGCGAAAAATCATGCTTTAGACAACCTGTCAGATTTTGCAAATTGCACAAGAAAGAGAACAAAAGCCTCAAAAGAAAGAGAAGACATCTTTTGGGTCCTACCTGACGATTTGTAGCAGTAACATGCTCAGAAGGTATTCGAATTTCAAGGGTAGGTCCATTTAGGGAGCTTTCACCATTTTTATCAGCTTGAGAGGCTACATATTCTTTCCACAGCTTAAGTATCTCTTGCATGCATTCGCCAACTTTATAAACGACAGAAGACACTTCAGGTTTACCTGAATCACAAAAACATAAGTAGACTGCAAATAAAGAATATAACCCCAGTGAAATGTTTAAAACCTTTCTGTTCAGTCAATAATCACAAACAACCCACTCCAAAAATGCATTGAACAAGTCACATATAATAGGTGTGAAAAGGAAGAATAAACAATCATCAGAAACTATTCATCACCAACAAGACCTACTTAGATAACCATGGTATAAACAAGACGATCTTATAACCATTAACCAGTGTAATACTGTTCCCACCACTTACGAAGCTCTAACACATTGGAGATTTTATCGTCTCTAACTCACCTACAATTCCTTCTAAGCATCCTTGACTCCTAAATATAATAATAAACTTTAGTATTTAAAACTTGATGACTATAGAAATAATCGTCTATATTGATGTCACCGATTTAATTATCCCTAGTTTTGTCCCTTCTAAGTTG